CGAAAACAGCGTGTTTCTGCTTCAACTCAAAATAGGCATTTTCAAAATTATATAATAAATGATCTGTGGAGTATTTTGAGCTGAAAATTCACAGACACATTCTGGGGACACCAGAGACTTATATTACATATTGTAAAAAGGGGCATAGTATGTCTCCTTTAATGTCTGTATTAATTTGAATTTGGGATCATCACTTGAGATATCTAAAAATTCTGAAACCTGTGAAAATTTATTTATTTTCATTTTAATTTAACTTTTATACACATTTAATGTAAAATTTTACATAAAATGTGTATAAAATAAAAAAAAAACAATTGATTCATTTTTATTTAACTTTTATATTAAAAGTTTGGTGTCAGTTATCTGTTTATTTATTTAATTATTTATTGGAAAGATATTAATAATGACAAAAGATTTCTGTCAAATAAATGCTGTTCTTTTGAACTATCTATTCATCAAAAAATTCTGATAAACACAAAACTATTAAGCAACAACTGTTTTCAACATTTTTTTTCAACACTGATAATAAGAAGTAATGTTACTTGAGCATTAAATCAGCATATTAGAATGATTTCTGAAGGATCATGTGACACTAAAGACTGGAGTAACGATGCAGAAAATTCAGCTTTGCCATCACAGAAATAAATTACATTTTAAAATATATTCAAATAGAAAACCATTACTTTAAATAGTAATAATATTTCACAATATTACTGTATTTACTATATTTTTGATCAAATAAATGCAGCCTTGGTGAGCATAAGACACTTCTTTTTAAACATAGGCTATAAAGAATTTACCAACCTAAGACTTTTGAACGGTAGTGTAAACAAGAATAAATACAAAAGATATTTTAAGAGAACATCTCACTCTCATGCTAGCACACAGGAAACACAAACCTAAATGGAAACATCTCTGTATAGTGAACACAGCTACGCAAGTGTTCAAGGGCAGAGACCCCATTTAAAGGCCTTCTTTACCAACATTTTCCTTTCCTCTAAATAAAGCTCTGGATCACATACGCAACCCTGTCATCTTCCTCCTCTCTGTACTGAGCTTTATGTTGCATTAGTGGCCATATTATCAATACTACACTCTAAAAAATGCTGGGTTGTTTTAACCCAACTTTGGGTCAAATATGGACTAACCCAACTT